CCAGAGTGGCTGGGTACAGAATCTCAACTGAGACAGAAACACACACCCCAAGATCGTACCGTCCAACTTTTTATTTTCAAAAACTGGGATGCACATCTTCTGCGACATGCTCCTAGGCAAGTCACGTGACCCACAACACGCTCCCCCCTGCCCCGAGAATTTTTTTCAGGGTACAGTCTCATGCAGCAGATTGTAAACTGCCTTGAATCCCTGTCAGGGAAAAAGTAATGGGTGGTACATGATGATGATAGAAACTCTGAACATACCAGAGAGTAGTGTATTTTTCCATGTATAACATGCCCCCATGTATAAAATGACCCCTATTTTTTGGGACCCCAAATTGAGGAGATGGGGGGAGATTGCCCAGAATTAAGCTTTTTTTGGGGGGGGATTGCCTACAATCGCTCACCTGCCTGACCGCTGCTGCCAATCGCACACCTCGCCAAAGCCACCAATCGTCTGCCCACACGCCGCCAGCAGCAGCCACCAATTGCCCACCCAATTGCCGCAGCAGCAGCCAATCGCCAGCAGGCCTTGCCACAGCAGCCAATCACTCGCCCAATAGCCGCTGACAATCTCCTGCTCACTGCCACCAGTCGTCTGTCCCCCCCTCTGCACTATCCATGTATAAGACGACCCCCAATTTTTTACATTTTTTATAATAAAAAAAGTCGTCTTATACACAGAAAAATACAGTAAATCCTATTGGAATTCATTCTGAGTAAAAATGATTATGATTGCTGTGTAAGGCTGCACAGTCTTTACCCAGTTACCTGGGAGTAAGCTCCATTGAATACAGTGGGACTTCCTTCTCAGTAGACAGTGTAAGGCTCCATTTACAATAAAGGAATAAACACACCTTGAGTTTCCTAAGAAATGGCTGGCTGCTGAAACATTGCAATTACAAAAATTAGATTGGTGAGCTTTTCCTTCAAAATCATAGGAAGGGCTTCACCAGTTCCTTCATTTGGTGCAGGTATTTGATTTTCAACATAAACAGGACTCCATTTTTGCATACACCCACCTCAATTTTCATTGTTCTCCAAGATGTGGAGGGGAAGAAGAAGGAAAAATTAGAAATTAGAAACCGGGACAGCTTTTGTAATTCCAAGAATATTCCTGGAAAATTGGGGCGCTTGGAGGGTATGTCAAGCTAAAATATCTACTCCACAAACAGCTTGAGCTGTTGTGTGTGTGAACACAAACGCAGCAAAAATGAATGTCAACCACAAAGCGTAGATGATGCAATTTCTGCAAATGATTAATGAAACAAATGCTATTTAGCAAATGAATAATGAAACAGAAGACATCTTCAACAGCTGAAGCAAACGACGAAAAATGAGGCGAAGGTGGGTCTTTCAAGCTTCTGCTTATACACATGCCTGACTTACTAGATTTCAGTGTGGATGGTCTTAAGCGTTGCTTTTATTAAATTAAATTCCGACTTTTAAAATTATCTGTTTGATCTCTCCCCATCCTTCCACGTATCACTGTGGCCATCTTCCAAAGACCAGGTTGCAAAGTCCAGCTGGTTTTGAATGATCCGTCTGGTTAAAAATTAAAATGGGGAGCCGTAATCTTTGTTTTACAAATGAGAGTAAACTCGATCCGCCTCCTCTTCCTGCCTCCCCTCCTCTCAGCGGTGCATAAATCAGGAAAAGTGGATTTGTTTCCTGCAAGATTTTCCAGGATGCCTTTCAACTGAGACCAAACTTGGACCGTTTCGGCCCCTAAAGTGGTTGATTGAGAAGGTCAAAGGTGGTAAAACGCTAAGTGATTTATGCCCTCAGTTACCGTCAGATGCTCAAATGATGTAGCTGTTTTAAGAGTCTAATACACGACGTGTTTAAACGAAAATACTTGGATTTGAGCCAGTGATGGCTTGCCGCAGCCCCAGGTTATTCGCACTTCCGAGCTGTTGATCTCGATGTGACATAGAGCTTCAGGAGCTATAAGATGTTGTCTTTTACGAATGAATGCAATCTCACATATTCAGGGCTGGGCTACATCTTACACTTAGCCATGTGACAATCAATTTGGCCCTGATTGTTTAGCATATAAAAAACCCCTTCCAGCTACAGATACAGGAACTATACAATACACCATCCACTTAGCAATCCCAGTACATTTCCGGGCACAATTCAAAGTGTTGGTCCTGACCTTTAAAGCCCTAAATGGCCTCAGTCCTGTAAACCTGAAAGAGCATCTCCACCCCCATCGTCCAGCCCGGACACTGAGGTCCAGTGCCGAGGGCCTTCTGGCGGTTTCCTCTCTGTGAGAAGTGAGGTTACAGGGAACCAGGCAGAGGGCCTTCTCGTGGTGGTGCCCGCCCTGTGGAACGCCCTCCCAGCAGATGACATGGCAATAAACAACTATTTTACTTTTAAAAGACAACTGAAGGCGGCCCTGATTAGGGACGTTTTTAAAGTCTGACACTGTATTGTTTTTAATATTCAGTTGAAAGCTGCCCAGAGTGGCTGGGGAAACCCAGCCGGATTGGTGGGGTATGAATAATAAATCATCATCATTATTATTATTAGGAACAGGAACACAGGAAGCTGTCTTATGCTGAGTCAGATCATTGTGTGCATCTTACTCAGCAGTTTCTGCAGTGACTGGCAGTGGATCTGCAGGATTTTGGACAGGAAGACTCTCCCAGCCCTGCCTGGAGACGCCAGGAATCGAACCTGTGACCTTCTGCATGCAAAGCAAATGCTCTACCATTCAGCTACAGTCCAGATTCTTATATCTCACACCTCTAATCTTCCTTAACTGTTGAGATAGGAAGGTGCAAGCAGTGCCGGATTTACGTATAAACTAAACAATCTATGGCTTACGTCCCCACTCTTTTGGGGGCCGCAAAAAAAAAAAGAAATTAAAGGAAAAAACCAACTGGATGTACATTTCCAAAATATAAGTTAGAGCTTGATAATTATTTCACTATTAATATACTGTTTCTTAATTGTATTTCACTATTAATATCCTTCTTTGTATTTCAGTTCAACAATTACTTGGATAAAATACGTATTTTGTTATGTGCAAATGGCTTTAGATACCTAAGGTAAAGGTAAAGGGACCCCTGACCATTAGATCCAGTCGTGACCAACTCTGGGGTTGCGGCGCTCATCTCGCTTTACTGGCCGAGGGAGCCGGCGTACAGCTTCCGGGTCATGTGGCCAGCATGACTAAGCCGCTTCTGGCAAACCAGAGCAGGGCACCGAAACGCCGTTTACCTTCCCACTGGAGCGGTACCTATTTATCTACTTGCACTTGACGTGCTTTCGAGCTGCTAGTTGGGCAGGAGCAGGGACCGAGCAACAGGAGCTCACCCCATCGCAGGGATTCGAACTGCCGACCTTCTGATCAGCAAGTCCTAGGCTCTGTGGTTTAACCCACAGCGCCACCTGTGTCCCCTATTAGGTACCTATTAGGTACCTATTAGGTATCGTGTTCCCTATTAGATACCTATTAGGTCCATAAATTACCATATAACATATATTCAACACAAAAAAAGTGGCAATTTGATGTTGACAAAGGACAGCTGGACATATAAAGGGCCCCATTGCCTTCAGTAGCTCAGGGCCGCATCAAACCTAAATCCGGCCTTGGGTTCAAGGAAGATTAGCTTGTGACCGTTCCTGCTTTCCTTGCCTGAGGGGAGGGTGCCTTTGAGGAGACTTCAGGTTCTCCAAAAAGCCAGGCTCCTTTCCACTCAATGGGCTGAATCTGCAGCCCATCTCTGAGCGTCACGAAAGAATGAACATCTCTCTCACACACCAGAGACTTGCATTTATCATTTCTCAAGGAGCTACGTAGCACAGCATTGCATTTTGATTAGGGACAGCCTGGTTCAGTTCCCCAGCCAACTATAAGAACATCAGCAGAGTTCTTCTGGATAAGAGCAAAGGTCCATCTAGTCTGATGCTGTGCTGAAAATGTTTACATTCAATATTTAGCAAATGGGAGAAAAAAAGTTAGGATGATGTCCATCTGGAGATGGAAGAATCTGCCAATTTCAGTTTCTTCCAGTTTCTCATTTTTTCATTCTTCAATTCTCCTCATTCACACACTAGTTTCTGATCTTTTTTTCAAATTCCCATCAGAATTTTTGTGAAAATTTATCCCAATATACCATTTTTTGGTGTGCAGTTTTGTCCAGTATACACACTTTTGCAAATCCAATGCATATTTTTTGGGTATGTTGTTTTCATGATGATTTGCCCCATGTTTTTATGCATGCTGCTTGACTGGAGAACTGCCTTGCAAAGTTCAGAGATGTGCGAATTTCAAAGGACAACTGCGTTTTGGTTTGCTTCCTGTTTCCAGAAGTGCATACCAGGTAGCTTTGCCTTTAAATGCAAATAGAGTCAAATTTCTCCTCCATCTTTATCCGCATCCCACATCACCACCTACTTTTTAGGGCTGCTGGGAGGATAAAAGTTCACAAGCTGAGCCTTGTTTGTCCATCGCATCTCTTATTTCGGGGTAGACATCCTCTGAACATGGAAGTTCAACTTAGCTTTTAGGGCTAATAGCTAATACATACATACATACATACATACATACATGCATACATACATACATTTCATTTACAATATATCCCACCCTTTCCCCCAAGAAGCTCAATGTGGCGTACATGGTTCTCTTCTACCTCATTTAACCCCTTCTTGGTAGTGGTGCCCTCCCTGTGGAACACCCTCCCTTCAGATGTCAAGGAAACAAACAACTAAGGCAGCCCTGTTTAGGGAAGTTTTTAAGGACTGATGTTTTTATTGTGCTTTTAGATATGCTGCCAGATGGGCAGGGTATAAATAATAAAATGATTATTGTTGTTGTTTAGTCGTTTAGTCCTGTCCGCCTCTTCGTGACCCCATGGACCAGAGCACGCCAGGCACTCCTGTCTTCCACTGCCTCCCGCAGTTTGGACAAACTCATGTTGGTAGCTGCGAGAACACTGTCCATCCATCTTGTCCTCTGTCGTCCCCTTCTCCTTGTGCCCTCCATCTTTCCCAACATCAGGGTCTTTTCCAGGGAGTCTTCTCTTCTCATGAGGTGGCCAAAGTATTGGAGCCTCAGCTGCAGGATCTGTCCTTCCAGTGAGCACTCAGGGCTGATTTCCTTAAGAATGGATAGGTTTGATCTTCTTGCAGTCCATGGGACTCTCCAGAGTCTCCTCCAGCACCAGAATTCAAAAGCATCAATTATTATTCTTAATATTATTAATCAACTCTGTGAGGTAGGTTATGCTGAGAGGCAATGGCTGGCTCGAGTTCAGCCCACTAACATCATGGCCCACTGGGAATTTGAACCCTGGTCTCCTAGGTCCTAGATCCTGGTTCCGACACTCAAACCACACTTCTCCTCCATGAGTTGGAGAGAACTTCATTTCCTGCTGCATAGGTGCTTGTGAGCAAATCTCATTCATCGCAGATCGGCTTGCGTCCGGCCTGCGTTTAACACCCATGGTGATTTGTGCCTTCTGCTTTGCCATAGCCTCCCCCCGAAGGTGATTGGAGGAGCACGCAGAGCCGAGAGGGGAGCAAATTGTGTTGAATTTTTCCGGCACGTTGTGTTGGAAAGGTCAGCAAAGGGGCTAATTCATTTCCTTGTTACCTAACCCTGTTGACTGATTTAATGACGGCTGGCTAAAATAATAAAAGATTTATGTCCATAAACATTCAAACACGAGCGCCGCTCTTGATTCCGTTCCTGGGGCTTTCCCTGGCGTGCTTTTCCAGCATCTGTCTCATTCATTTCCTCATTGAAGGGAGGAAAAATGCACACACAAACACACACCTCGGTGCCACGAAAACAAAAATGTCAGGTGAAATTAATGCGAGCAGAAAGTGGATGGGTTTTTCCCCCCTTTTCCTCCAGCAAGTTAGAACCAAAGGGATGAAGCTGATGAGCCTGAAAGTCTCCCTGAAAGAAAGGAACCTCTTCGGATTGAATGCTGAAAGATTCAGGGAAGATAAGAGAAAGCACTTCTTCAGTCAGCGCACAGTTAAATTATGAAACTCACTCCCTGATGAGGCAACGATGGGCACAATCTTGGATGGCTTCCAAAGAGGGTTAGACAAACTCATGGAGGAGAGAGCTATCAATGGCTATTATTATTATTATTATCCACAATGGCTCTGCGGTGCTGCCATAGTTGATGCAGCAATGCTTCTGAAAACCAGTTGGTGGAAATCACAAGAGGAGAGAGGGTTCTTGAGCTCAGGTCCTGTCTGAAGGTTTCCCACAGGTTGACCAGTGTGAGAAGAAGACTTCTTTGGCGATCACTCATAGCCAAGTAAGATTGTTTTCCATAAACACGGTTTTAACAGTGAGCCTGTAAGTGACTGTGGAGGCCAATTCTGGATCCACACGTCCTTCCACGGTGGGGACATAGGTTTCCGGGTGGGAGTTGATCATGGTGAGGGTTTGCCAAGCATGCCTTCCTCTTAGCATGTTTCTCCCTTGCGTCCTGAGTTCAAGTGTCTTCAAAGCCCATGACACCTTTGGTGAAGGCTGTTCTCCAACTGGAAAACTCACAGGCCAGTGTTTCCCAGTTGTCGGTGTTTATACTACATTTTTTTTAGATTTGCCTTGAGACAGTCTTTAAACCTCTTTTGTTGACCACCAGCATTACACTTTCCATTTTTAAGTGTATAGTTGCTTTGGAAGACGATAATCAGGCATCTGAACAACATGTCCAGTCCAACGAAGTTGATGTTGAAGAATCATTGCTTCCACACTGGTGGTCTTTGCTTCTTTCAGTAGACTGGCATTAGTTTGCATGTCTTCCCAAGTGATGTGTAAAAAAATTTCGGAGACACCGTTGATGGAATCTTTCGAGGAGTTGGAGAAGAAGACAAGGACGAGATGGACCACAGGCCTGATCCAGCAGACTCTCCTTATGTTCTTAGGTTTCTGGAGGGCCACATTTGGCCCTGGGCCTGATATTCCCCATCCCCATGTTAAACAAATAAAGCAACAAATGGGTGGCAAACTTTCTTGAAAGAGCAGGAACTCAGGTTGCAGAGGCATCGCTTGATCCGTTGGCTAATAGCAGGAACAGGGCCTGGGGCAGGGCCTGGGGTGCCTTGGCAGAAGCAGGTCAAGGTGCAAATGGAGCTACCACCTGCACGGCTCCCTTCTCCCAGCCTCCCTCCTCCTGGCACTGTTTCATGGAGGAGAGGTGCCTCTCTCAGAGTGGAGAGCCACCAAATGTAAATCAAGGCAGAGCTCGGGACGCAGGATGCCAACATATACAGCCCTTAATTCCCATCACTTTCTCAGATTATAAGCCTGCTGTAGGTTTGGCAAGAGCTCGCATGGAGAAAAAAGAAGAAGGAGAAGAAGGAGCATGCTCACTCAACAGACTCGTTTGCCTCCAACTCTCATACTGTGCTTTCACGAAAGGGCTCTATTTTATTTTATTTTTAAGAATGATCTAGTGGTCCCTCTTGGGCACATTTTTCAAAGCCGTATGCAGTGGATTAGCACCGTATTAGGATACATTCGGTGGAGGAAAAAGTGGGACGGGAACCTTCAAAGAGACGGGGCAGCCATATTTACAGTAGCATTATGCGCCTCCTGCCAGGCACTGGGAGTTCCAGGCTTTTGAAGTTGCAAGGACTGGGGGTTCCCCCCCCCTCGCCTCTTGCTGAAATTGGCTGGGACAGTTGTGAAAAAAAGGGGGGAAAGGCAGTCTGGACCTGGAGCTGGTAGCACTGCGGGAGGCTAGGCCAA